GCGAGAAGAAAATAATAATGGGTTGTGAAGAGGAAGAACAAGGTGAAAGTGTAAATATAAAAATTTTAAACGGATGAACGGTTTATCCGATAAGGTAATTGAGTAATCCGCCTCCAAACCGTTAAGCCGTTAATTATTTTCAATCCATTCATCAACTATTACCCCGATAATCCGATACCAATAAGCCAATAAGTCAATTTTGCGATTCGGTTAACGGTTATAGTTTGATTTTAAACATCCCTATTCTTACGGATGTTATCTCATGTAACAACTTAGCCTACTAGTAATATTGTCCACTTTGGGCCTAGGCCCGCACGGTATTAAAACGTGTCACTAGGGTTTAAGGCTTGTTTACTTATATACCTAGCATTTCTCCCATGTTTTGTCGATGTGAGATTCGACTACGGTGTCACATATTTATAAATTAGCTAGTACTTATTTTGTCCTGGAATTTTAATTTAAAAATCTTAATTTCAGGATAATTTATGATATTTTTGTCCTGAAAAATTGAAGTGGACTGGCTAATACCCAAATAGCAGCCCTTTAGAATGGGTACATGGTGTCACTTCTACTTGGAGGAGCATTTGCATCTATACCCAGTTTTTGGGCCACCTTTTACTTATACCCGCTTTGCAAAAAAATTGCAAGCATACCCGTTTTTCGCGTAACTTCAGACATACGGGCCTGAAGTAGCAAAGGCAATCACGCAAACTTCAGTTCATAGTGCAATGACAAACTTCAGTTCAATAAAACTACAACATGTTTTGGCTGAAGTTTCTGTTTTGTAATTGCTGAAGCTGAAGTTTGTTTTGTAATTGCTGAAGCATTCTAGGAGCTGAAGTTTGTTTTGTAATTGCTGAACTTCAGCATTCTAGGAGCTGAAGTTTGTTTTGTATTTGCTGAACTTCAGCATTCTAGGAGCTGAAGTTTGTTTTATATTTATTGAACTTCAGCATTCTTAGGAGCTCTTACAAATTTAAATTGCAGCATCTGGAACTAATTTCAGTTGTTTCTATGATATTGCTATTTCCAGAAGTGGGTAAGATAAGAATATGCATGTTTACATTATATCAACAGATATCTAGTCCTTAAAGCAATATTATATTTCAAATTAGTACTGTACTGTTCTTACAAGTTTGCAAGAAATGAACAGCAACTTTTTATGAGTCATAAAAGAACGATCATTGTCACCCGAAGAAGAAAGAAGAAGAAGAAGGAGAATAAGAAAATGAAGGAGGAGAAAGAGGAGGAGAAAGAGGCCTGAAGTTGTTTAGAATGTGGGTACATTAAAACTTTTTTAAAAAGTGGGGTATAAGTTAAATGGGGGCGATCAAATAGGGCGCCCGTGCAATTTTTACCTACTTGGATCTGTTATTTCTTCTATTCTATCCAGCGGGCCTAAACCCAAAATGCATGCCGGAAGGGCAATAAGTGGTCCATTGCCTGAGCCAGGCCCAACTCGTAAAACCCTAATAAACCAGTGTCGGGTCCCCTCTTCCTCTTCCCCTGTATATTATATTAACAGAAGCAAAAGGCGAGAGGCGGCTGACAAACCCTAATCTCATTTCGCCATCGAACAGCGAAGATGCAGATCTTCGTGAAAACCCTGACGGGTAAGACCATCACCCTTGAGGTCGAATCCTCCGACACAATCGACAACGTGAAGGCAAAGATCCAGGACAAGGAAGGCATCCCACCGGACCAGCAGAGGCTCATTTTCGCCGGAAAACAGCTTGAAGATGGCCGAACCCTAGCTGATTACAACATCCAGAAGGAGTCCACTCTCCATTTGGTGCTCCGTCTCCGTGGTGGTGCTAAGAAGAGGAAGAAGAAGACTTACACCAAGCCTAAAAAGATTAAGCACAAGAAGAAGAAGGTTAAGCTTGCTGTGTTGCAGTTTTACAAGGTGGATGATTCTGGAAAAGTTCAGAGGCTTCGTAAGGAGTGTCCTAACGCTGAATGTGGTGCTGGTACTTTCATGGCTAACCACTTTGACCGTCACTACTGTGGTAAGTGTGGCCTCACTTACGTTTACAACAAGGCCGGCGCCGACTGATTCTTCTCCTATTTAGCCCATGTTTTTGTGATGTCGTCGATTTGCTCTATATTCTCGAACCGTATTTTGTAGTTATTTGGAAACTTCAGTAAACAGTATTTGCTGGATTGTTCTTAGTTTTGGATTATTAATATGAATCTTATATTCCTAATTTTATCCTTCTTTATGTTTCTGGATTTGTTTGTTGACAAATGTTAGTGCATTTTTGTACAGAATGGTCACTCTTTGGGTAGTATTAGCCCCTAGGAACTGTGGCAACATTTGATATAAGAAAATCTATATGTGCTTTTAGATTACTAGTTTTTCTTCAGAAAATGAACTAGGAGGTCCAAACTATCTTATTCCTTTGAATTCACTGACCATTAAATGTCCTTCAAGGTTGCATTTACAGGTTACTTTTGGTGTCATGTAAGTGTCAACTTTAATAAAAAGTATGGTGTGGTAACGTGATAAGACAATTAGATTCGCTCTTGTATATAAAAGAGTTTTCCTTTTGATCTTGAACCTAGAATTCATAAGACAGACATTCATCTTTCTCTGGCCAATGTAACTTCATTCCATATGCCTATTAGGAAAAAAATCATAGCAGGCTCGTGCAAGCCATTATTATGCGTCTTCTTCCTTTCTTCCAATTTTTGTCACACTGAGATGTCATCTAACTAATACTCATGAATTAAACCTTTCCCGAGGGCGTCTACTTAACCTACAAGTGTACATAATCTTTTTCTATGCTGGGATACTCACTTGTGTCGAGCGTCTTTGATGGAAAGCTTTTGCACTTGTCCTCTTTCTCATTTTTCTTCCTATGTAGCTTGATAGGTAGTCTTTATTTTTCTTTCTTCATTAATTGATACATGAAAGCTGACTTCTTGTTGACTTTGCCCTTTGAAGTCCATGCTCCTGAATTATTCATGCATTTCTTTAGGCTGAAAAGGGATTGAAACAAAGCATTGCTTTATTAACCATAAGGAGAATAAAGAATAGAAATTTGAGTTGATTCATTTCTATGTCGGTCTGTTCCTTCATTTGATTTCTACTACAAACATTGAAGAGTATACCAGTAACAGCACATCTTCCTCAAGGACATAGTTGAAGTCTGTCGATATAGATTCAATAGGCAAGAAAAAATTTGATAGGATCATGGTTAAAGATAGTCCAATATGGTAGTGTTGAGACTTGGGAAGTGTCAAAGGAGGGGATCAAGTGGAATAGACAGCTGATCCATCTCAGCTCATCATTAGTAAAAAATTTGCCTCAAGGGAACTTAGCAGTATTTTTAGATGGACTTACCAACAGGTAGCAGTTGGAAAATGATTGGGCAGCCCCCAGAGCTTTGGTGAGCGCAACACGTGATATGTGGATTAGACACGTGTCACGGGTTCGAGCCCTATTGCAAATAGAAGCTTGGTATTTGAGTAGAGAAGGGTAGAGGGGCGAACTCATTACCCTCTGAATTTCAAACCTTGTGCCTTGCCCTTGGGGATTTCTCAGTTATAAAAAAAAAAAGCTCATCTCAGATAGCAGCTCGAGAAAGAAATTGCTCTGCTTTCTTATCTGTATCATCTTGTATTTTTGTAAGTCACAGTCCCCCTTTGTTATAGAAGGCTGTGAATTCAGACTTATGAATTTCATGTGACTAGACGACCATTGAACTTGACGTATTCCATCTTGTTGAAGTCCAACGGTACAAAAAGGCAAGGGTGAAGACCGCTCAAGGCCTTAATTTTAAACATGAAATACCGAAATAGTACATTTAGACTATTGTCTCATCTACTTAGTTTTCTCAGTACGATCCTCTTTATGTTAGGAGTTTGACGCTTTACAGTTTCAGACGCAATCATCCATGTATTTGGGGATTGTTGGATGACTTTCTACGTATTCTAAGTGTGATTCTGGATTCTCAATTGTCATCTTATTATCAGCATTCAGTTGTGTGGATAAATGTAATCAAAGGGAGTGCAGCGATTAATTCGAGTTTCAATTAATCGAATTACAAGTGTGAATTACATGAGTTTCAACATATGCAAGTGTGAATCTAGCTTCTCATCTTTACATCATTTTCATGGATAAATTGTTTGGATCGAATGTCAATTAAATGCTTATTTACATGCACATTAAATCAATTTATCACGGTTGAATTATAAGTAAAGTAAAAATGCATACTAATGAAAGTTAGCAAAAATTTATGCACACACATCATTGGTGTAGAGTAGCTATCAGATGCGGGTGAACTTTTTCATGTGCGAAGTAATTCCCCCAAAGAGAGTCTGGGAATAAGCGTAATCGTAAATACAAAGATGTTAAAGTGGGGTTGTTTGCACCCCTTGGATATATTGCTTTTCGAGGGTAGACTCTCTAATATCTTAGAATCAACGCAGTCAAGGATAAAATCGGATCTAATACCACTATTGTTAATGAGAAGAGGACCCCTTATCAGATACTCTCTCCGGTCCAAAATAAGTAATTTTTTGGCTTTTTCTTGTGGTCCAAAATAAGTCATTTTTTCAGATTTCAAGAATGGATTAATTATGTTTTTCCTACATTGCCATTGGAGTAAATAGTGTTGGAGTATGTGTTAAGAGTGTTTATGTGAAGAGATAGTAAATGTTGATATGATCAATTTTATTGCTAATTAATATTAAAAGATGTATTTTTTAATCTGTATAACAGTTAAAAAATAATTTATTTTGAACGGGAGGAAGTAGTACTAAAACTAGAGGAGTAAATACTAGATATGGCTTGAATTGCTAATACGTGAACCAGTGTCCAACAACTTTAGTGAAAGCCGAACATTGTGGACTTCTCCATTAGGAGAAGAGCACTGTGTAGTTGTCTTTTTCCTTCTTGGGGATAAGGCATCTTTTTTCATATGTGACGTGTCCACTTTAAATTTTTTTGTCAGTATCAGGAAACCTTTTTCTCTCCCATTTAGTCAAAACAAAACAAAAGAACAAACGTCATGCCTAACGCTAATACTTTCCACCTACCTACGCTCCGTCGCCTTTCTCAAGTACTACAGTTGCAGCTCAGATTTCATTATAACAACAGTTACCATTTCCCAGCAGCAGAGCAAATCAACAACATTATGGATTCACAGTCACTACATGGTTCTATTATCTTCTCTACCGTTGGCAGGACCAATTACGGCTTCGATATCTTCTCCCTCAAATCTCCATTTTCTTTCCTCGATTCTCCACTCCATAATACCCGATATCCCGCCGAGCACCGCCTTACCGATGGTATCTCTATTAATTTCAACGGTCAGTTCGTTGACGAAGATCAGACTCTTGTCTTTGTTTCCGAGAGATCAGGCTCTCCTCGCATTTACTTGCAACGTCCCTCCCAATTAGGACAGATTGAACAACTTCCTGATGGGAGCCCTGATAGCCTATTTCTCGACCGTCCTCTTCTTCGAAATAAACGCCTCTTCTATATCTCCGCTCACCAGCCGCCCCAACAAATTTTCACCAGCTGGTCCGCTCTTTATTCCACCACCCTCGACGACGAAAAGACTGCTGTCCGCTTGACTCCTTACGGCTGTGTTGATTACAGTCCGGCGATTTCGCAATCTGGGCACTTGATTGCAGTTGCATCCTATGGAGACCGTCGCTGGCCTGGTGAATTCCATGATCTGAGCACTGATATTGTTGTTTTTCCAGAATCCGATCCCAGCAAGCGGACAGTGGTGTGCCAACACGGTGGCTGGCCAACTTGGTCAGGTGATTCAACTATTTATTTTCACCGCCAAGCTGATGATGATTGGTGGAGTATTTTTAGAGTTGATTTGCCAGAGGATCTCTCCGATTTGCAATGCGCTGATCCGGTTCGAGTCACTCCTCCTGGCGTGCACTGCTTTACTCCTGCAGCTGCCACACACAGCTCCAAAGCAGTGATTGCTATTGCCACCAGAAGACCTGGTAAGAGCTATCGCCACATTGAAATTTTCGATGTTGAGTCGCACACGTTCTATCCCGTGACCGAGTTGCTTAATCCTACCATTCACCATTACAATCCGTTCTTCTCTCCTGAAGCTACGTTTCTCAGTTATCACAGATACAGGGGTGAATCATCACCAGGAGATACAACTATTCCTAACTTGGACCCGGTTATTTCTCCAACAAAAGGACTGAGAATGCTGAGGCTTAACGGATCATTCCCTTCCTTCTCTCCCTCAGGTGATTTTATTGCATTCAATCAAGATTTTAATGCTAATTCAGGCCTCAAAATCGTCAAATCAGATGGTTCCAAGAGGTGGACATTGTTCAAAGGTCGTACAACTTTCGGCAACTCCTGGTCACCAGCTGAACCCAACGTGATACTTACATCAGTTGGACCTGTATTCGACTCCGTAAAAGCAACGGTGCAAATTGCTCGAGTTTCATTCGACTCATTAGACCTTACTAATGACGATTGCGCTGGGGAAATTCCAGTAGAAATAAAAGTTCTCACAAAAGAGGAGACTGGAAATAATGCCTTCCCTTCTTGCTCGCCTGACGGGAAGCACGTGGTATTCCGTTCAGGGCGTTCGGGGCATAAAAATTTGTACATTGTGGACGCCATAAAGGGAGAGTTGGAGGGAGGAGAAATCCGTCAGCTAACGAAGGGACCATGGATTGATACAATGCCGAGCTGGTCACCTGACGGAAAGCTGATTGCATTTTCTTCCAATAGGCACAATCCGGATAATATCACTTGCTTCAGCATCTATGTAGTTCATCCGGACGGCACAGGTCTCCGGAGGATCCACGTGGCAGGGCCGGAGGGATCCGATGAAGCGGATAAGGAGAGGCTTAATCACGTGTGCTTTAGTAAGGACTGTGAGTGGCTGCTGTTCACGGCCAACTTGGGCGGAGTGACAGCAGAACCCGTGTCCCTGCCGAACCAGTACCAGCCTTATGGCGACTTATATTTGGTGAAGTTGGATGCGAGTGGATTGCGACGGCTCACGTGGAACGGATATGAGAATGGTACTCCTGCGTGGCACCCCTCGGCAACAACTACGGTGGACGTAAAACGGAGCCTACTAGTAGGCGATAAGTTAAGGGGTGAATTCGATGATGTCCTATGGATGAATTGTTGAAGCAGAAGATGTGGCCAGTGAAGATCAATCAGATATCATGTTGTTTCTGGTGGTTTGAAGAGTTAAGAGCTCCATTTGTGTGGGCTGACAACAAAAGTTATTCACCAGGTTCTTGTCCATTTTTAGTGGGTGGTATCCACGTTAAGTATCTGTAGGATTTAGCATGGAATAAATTATGCAAGTTTTGTAATGAAAATAAAGAATGAAGAAATTGGGGTATTTACTTGTATATTGAGCTCTATCCACTGTCCCCAGAGTTGACCGAAGATGTGAAGGAGAAGAATGCTACTCTATAATCAGTACAGTCCTCTGGTACATAAGCTGGAGTTTTAAATTCAAGATTTAGACTCAAAACAGCAGTATTTGTAATCTCATATTAAGTGGAGACAGGATAGCAGCAAGATTTAAACTCACAACTGTATATGATTGCAATCCAACATTAAGTGGAGGCAGGATAGCAACATTACATGGCAGAGTTCTAATTGGACTCAATAATCAAGCTTCATTCTCTGTATTTATAGAGGTACTCATCCTCTAAATCAAGGAATGTGAATACCATTACTTGAATCCTTTTAAGCCAATGCTTAGGAGAAAATATCTGTTGCATTCAAACACGCATACAAGAAGCTAGGCTAAAAATCACTGCTAATGGTCATGGGGACATAACTGTATTGTAGTAACAAAAATGTATTTTAATCTATAGCATGTTACGAGCAGGATAGGAGCTTTAAGGCTTGAGCTCAGTTGTAAAAGTAAATATTGTATGAGCAGAAGATAACAATTCCATGATAGTAGCGTATTCATCTGAAAAAGGATGAGTAGTATATTTCCCTGTGCAATTTATTACCTATCCAAAACAAGAATAGTTCATCAAGCGGGGATAGCTCAGTTGGGAGAGCGTCAGACTGAAGATCTGAAGGTCGCGTGTTCGATCCACGCTCACCGCAAGTTTTTGACGTAGACTTTTCCCAAAGTTCCTATGCTTTTCCCTGATTTGTTATATTTCTTTTGTTTTTTTCATCTCTGTGTCTATGCATATTCTCAACTGATGATTTGTCCATGCAATTTCAACGGAAGTGAATTCCTATAATTAGATTAACTTCATTTTCATCTATAATCTCTCTAAAAGATCACATTCACCAGAATTTTGCAGATTAGTGAATTGGCTTCTGCAGCTGAGATGGTGAAAGCAGCACTACTCTCTCTCGTTCTTCAAAATAACTCTATTTAGGTTTTCCAATTTAACCTTAATATTTAAGTCGATAAACCAATCAAAAATTTTGTTCGAGCAGCTCGATTTTTTAAGCTTTTACTAAAGGGTGCAATCCCTGCTGTATATAAGGCATTACAATTTACAGTTGTCTCTATTTTACTCTTGCAACATCAAGATTTTCACCAAAGGGATTAAAAAAAAAAAAATGAAAACACTCGAGAAGCTAAGAAGATTCAACATCTAATATACGTTCATAAAAATTATTGAGATTTTTACATTCCTATGCCACATAGGAAACCTTATTACCCTCAATGTTTAAGGTTTGACTTAACTACACTTAGTATACCAAATTACCAATTCTATACCATAATTAATTAAGGGTATAATTAATTGTACATTTTTTACTCCTTAATTAAAGGAATCTGCACGTTTCTCTCTCCTAACCCCTCAGTCCCACCCACGTTTTACCCATACCCACGTTCTTTTTACCATTTTCCATCTTCTGAAACCAAATTCTCCCTCTAAATTCACAGAAAATTGAAGAAACCCTTCAACAAAGTTGGTTCCCCATTTTACTCCAGTTGAAGTTAATCAATGAAGAACAACAAAGTTCATCAAAATTGAAGTCAAATCTTCAAAGTTCATACACACATTTACCTTCAGCTTCAAATTTTCTCAATGAAGAAGAACAAACCTTCAAAGAGACAAGAGAGCAGCAATTCCACCATTGACAGCCATTAAAAAAAGCTTTGAAGCTTTGAATTCAAATTTGGGTTTTCAAAAATCATTATTTATTTTGATTGGGTGTTGTTGAAAATAATTGGGAATATATTTTGGAGTTTATATCTCAATTTTGAGGGGTTTTAGTGAAGATTAGACTTGGTTTTGACCGAAATTCAGATTGAAACTAGAAGAAGAAGAAGAAGAAGAAGAAGAAGAAGAAGAAGAAGAAGACATATTGTAGAAATTGTAGATAAATTATAGAAAAATTGTAGATAAATTGTAGACTGTTTTTTGCAGAAGATTTTGTAGAAGTTTTAGTCGTTTTGGATTTGTGAAAACAGAAAACAATGCATCTACAATCAGAATACAAATAATCTACAATTTATCTACAAAATATCTACAAACTGGATACATTGAATTTTAATATCCCAATTCCCATTTCAATTGTAGCATAATTGGCATTTTCGACATAATTGCATTTTTTGCAGAAGATTTGTAGAAGTTTTAGTCGTTTTTGATTTGTGAAAACAGAAAACAAAACACCTACAATTAGAATACAAATAATCTACAATTTATCTACAAAATATCTACAAACTGGGTACATTGAATTTTTATATTCCAATTCCCATCCAATTGTAGCATAATTGTGATTTTTGACATAATTACGTTTTTCCAGAAGATTTGTAGAAGTTTTAGCCGTTTTTTATTTGTGAAAACGGAAAATAAAGTATCTACAATTAGAATACAAATAATCTACAATTTATCTACAATTTCTGCAATATGTCTTCTTCTTATTATTGTTCTTCGAGTTTCAATTTGAATTTCAGTCAAAACCAAGTCTAATCTTCACCAAAACCCCTCAAAATTGAGATATAAACTCCAAACCATATTCCCGATTATTTTCAACAACACCCAATCCAAACAAATAATGATTTTTGAAAACCCATATTTGAATTCAAAGCTTTCAAGCTTTTTAATGGCTATCAATGGTGGAAAATATCTGGAAGAACATTTACTTCCATAATTGTAGCGCGCCTAAATAGGAATATATGGAAGAATATGATTTGATATGATTTACGCCAAATCTTTTTAGAATATTCCGTTCCTCAATTTTAGCTCGACAAATTAGGAAGATTCAGCTACTATTAATTAGTATTTAATGATAGGTATAATAACTGTAGAAAAAATGTGGCGGGTAAATTAGAAACTATGCACATTTTTGGTAATAAAGTTTCATATATGGTATAAGAAAGAAAAAATCTCAAAATTATTTACCTTATATATACATACACTTTGTAATTTCGACCGACATAACATAAATTTTTCCTTATTGTGAATCCAATCTCATAAAATACAACGACAAAAATAGAAGAGGCGGACGGGGGACCTAGTAACACTAACTAATCAAACAAAATAAATAAGTTAATCGCTAGGATATGAATTGTCTGAAGGGGCATTCCTACAGCACATTTCAGACCCTACATTTTACATAGATGTATACAGGTACATGTACCTATGGTACAACTATCAGATTTATTGGCGTAAAATCAGCTAGATCCATAATCCAACAATTCCCACCTAAAGGGACGGAATATGTAGAGAACTTCTGGCGAACTCTTAAAGAGGAGAGCAACACAAACGCAAACAGCAGCGAGCGCCACCATTGAGAACATTACGGGCCTGTATAACAGGGATCGACTCTGTCTTCCATAAGCCAGCTTCTTATCACACATTCCGCAGGGCTGAATGAGTCTTCCCTCGGTCTGTGATACCTCAAAAGTGGCGGCTGCACACTCATCTTTCTGGTTGCTATTCCTGTCTGACAGGTTATTGGGAATATCAACTACGATATGTTTGGGAGTTACTCTGTTTATTTTTCTCTGGACCAGGTGGATATACGAGTAATGTCCTCGTAATCGAGCATAATCTTCTGGTGTGAAACCTGCACTGTCACGTCTGTTCTTCCATGCTTCAACCGCTGCCTGCATGAGTCCAAATTTAGAATGTATACGCGATAAGGATACGCAAACAGCATACATAAACATTAAGAAAGAAACTACTCCATTTAAGTTCCTATAGTCATTAGTTTGAAACAAGCTGAATTAAAATACCATTCCAGGATCATCGGTCAATGCATCTAGAACATCTTCGTATCCATCTATCCCAGCGGCAACATGAAGAGGAGTCAATCCTGCAGGCCCAACAATATCTGGTCTAAACAAGAATTTCCCGTTAAACCCAACCAGAGATTGGTATTCAGAACATAGTTCATCCGCTACTTCCTCTGGAGTATATGTCAATAGCAGCTCCACCAGGGGCCTGGAATTCCTCCTCACGGCTTTGTGAAGTAGACCCATCTCGGATAGTGAAACTTTCAGGAAAGAATTCTCCTCTCCTCCAACAGTTCCGTCAAGAAGAAAGTTCAACAGTTTCCTGACAACTGCACACCAATCATGGTCTATAGAGAACTCCATAAGCCACTTGAACCGCTTCAAAGGAAAGAGGACTGCATTGGAATTCCCCAATCTAGCCTTCAAATTATTTCTATGAAGAAGCCAACCCATCTCATGAATAAAATCCATGGCTTGACTTTTCAATTCCACATTATTTGTCAGTCCACTAATGTAATCTGCTGAATTCAACTCTATTGCACTCTCAAGCATACGGATCTCAGAGCAAACATCCTCCTCTGCAATTATGATAGGAAAGAAGCCGTTGCTAAGACCATGATCTTCAACCTGGACGAATAACAGAATCTCAGTACAAATTTATAGGTTACTGCTTTAGTGCTGTGAGCATATAAATTAGGGGATAAGACAAGATCTCTACAAGATGTAGTCAAAAGTGCTATAAAGTCAAGGTTGCACCTTTTCCAATTTGCATAATATATAACCAGATTTTATCAACTTTCTTTTTGAACATCCACTACAAACAAACTAATGTACAAGATAAACAAGTGAATAATACAAAAAGTCATATTTCCCAAAATGTACACTAATCTCATGTTCAACTTCTGAAATAACGAGTGATCTCACCATCAACCCCAACTACATATCTAGATATACTCATGTGCAATAAAATCGGATTAAAGTATCATAACACAGCCCCAAGCTTTTATCATTAGTAGCAGCATGTATAGGTCATGTTAAAAGAGGTACAGATGTACCATCGTCCCTTCTCAATTTGTACATATTATGTTAAAAGAGGAACAAGAACAAACTTAGGACATGAGTTCACCTCAATAAATCCTCTTCCAGATACTGCTGGAATAGAACATGTCAATTTTATTGACTGAAGTTTAGCGTGCTTGTTGACACCATCAACATGCTCTACCTCATCAGTAGCTTCTGTAACCAGATATTTACCTTCTAAAGCACAAAGTAATCTGAAAAAAGAAAACAGGTTAAGGAAGGATAAGCAAGACTCAATGGTATTGGAGAACTGCAGCACAGCGCGCAAGAACAGTAATGCTAAAATCACAGTTGATCAATATATCGCCCAGAATAATGATTCATACCTTGTCGAAGGCTTGGTTAAGTTATAGCCTTTAACTATAAACTGAGCTCTTTCAGATACTGGCACAGCTATGGGTTTGACACTTAAAATTGAAGTATGCTCAACAGTCTCAGACGGCAAGGGGACATCTAAAAGAAGCTGCCCTGCATCACATTATAGCACAAGTATTACAACTTACTGTGTGGAATGCAATATGTAAACTATCAACAGAAGCAATTTTCTTTAGCAGCTTTATACTTGGGGTTTGGGAAGGAATTTATAGTGTTTGAAAACTCAAGACAAGAACAGACCATCATGCACAAATGCAATTTGGTTTTGCATCCTAATGTAAATCCATCCTTTTCTCCAGAAACTATCGCCAGGGAAATCCAAAAGCCTACTCAAACTGGAGCTCAGATCACAACAAAGCTGTATGAAGCAATAAAATTATAGATGTCAATGGAGACCATACACAAAGCTTAACAAGTTCAAGTTATTTCTTTGAGCAGACATACCTCCTCCCATGCAGACTCAGGAAGCCGCAGATATATTGTTAAGACAATACAACCAGGCCTAATGTAGCTCTCAATCTCAGTTGGACTGTGAGATAGCCAGTCAAGAATCTGCAATTACAAGACAAAAAGAAAAAGAACCTATAAGAGTGAGTACAACTATCCGATGGTACACAAAAGAAACTTCCAGAAGCTGAATTTGAAGAAATACCTGTGCTCTTAAGACATACGGAAAATCACTAGGATCTTTTCCAAATAGTTTAAAAACTATACGATCAGTGCGGCTCTGCAACAGAAAAATATATAAGAAAATATTAAGACTAAATTCGGAAGTGACAAAAAGTAAGGGAAAAGAGTTAGATGCCAAGCTACACCACTTGGAAGTAATTTTCTTTTGGTAAGTGATTCTTTTTCAATGGACTTTCTGTGGGTGATCTCTTCTCTTGTTTTTCATTTTTCATGGAGAAAGATGCAGATTCTCAAAGACACTCTTTTCTTTGAACATAAATAATTGAAGCACGAAGTTGGACACACAGCTCCGAGAGTCTCTGGGACTTTAGGTACTGTAGGTGTATTAAGATGGAGGAGGTAGTAGGAGTTGTGTATAAGATGAGTCGGGCAAAGCGACCGGACCAGACGAGATTCCAGTAGAATTTTGGAGGTATGTGGGTAGAGCAGGATTGGAGTGGCTGACTGGGTTGTTTAATGTTATTTTCAGGACGAAGAGAATACCAGATGAGTGGAGATGTAGCATGATCATTCCGCTGTACAAGAACAAAGGTGATATCCAGAATTGTAACAACTATAGGGGCATCAAGTTGTTAAGCCATACCATGAAAGTTTGGGAGAGGGTGGTGGAAGGGGGGTAAGGAAGGCGGTGTCTATTTCTGAAAACCAGTTTGGGTTCATGCCGGGATGTTCTACTACGGAAGCTATCCACCTTATCAGGAGGTTGGTGGAACAGTACAAGGATAGGAAGAGGGATTTGCACATGGTGTTTATTGACCTAGAGAAGGCGTACGACAAGGTCCCTCGGGACGTTCTTTGGAGATGCCGGGAGGTGAAAGGGGTGCCGGTAGCGTACATTAGATCGATAAAAGATATGTATGATGGAGCTAAGACCCGGGTCAGGACCGCGGGAGGTGACTCAGAGCTTTTTCCAGTGGTTATGGGGTTGCACCAAGGATCTGCGCTTAGCCCGCTTTTATTTGCCCTGGCAATGGACGCCCTGACACACCATATTCAAGGGGAGGTGCCATGGTGTATGTTGTTCGCTGATGATATAGTTCTGATTGATGATACGCGAGGCGGCGTTAATGAGAGACTGGAGGTTTGGAGGCAGGCCCTGGAGTCCAAAGGTTTCAAGTTGAGTAGGACTAAGACGGAATATCTGGAGTGTAAGTTCAGCAGCGTGATGGGGGAAGTGGACATGGTAGTGAGGCTCGACTCACAAGTCATCCCCAAGAGAGAAAGTTTCAAGTACCTAGGATCAATCATCCAGGGGGATAAGGAGATCGACGAGGATGTCACGCATCGTATTGGGGTGGGGTGGATGAAATGGCGGTTAGCGTCTAGAGTCTTGTGTGACAAAAAGATGCCACTGAAACTCAAAGGTAAGTTTTAGAGATCGGTGGTTAGACCGGCTATGTTGTATGGGGTTGAGTGTTGGCCAGTGAAGAATTCACATATCCAGAAGATAAAAGTAGCCAAAATGAGGATGTTGAGATGGATGTGCGGGCATACTAAACTGGATAAGATAAAGAATGAAGATATTCGGGAGAGGGTGGGCGTTGCTCCCGTGGACGACAAGATGCGGGAAGCGAGGCTTAGGTGGTTCGGGCACGTGCGGAGGAGAACCATAGATGCCCCGATTAGGAGGTGTGAGCGGTTGGCTTTGGCAGGTATGAGAAGAGGTAGAGGGCGACCTAAGAAGTATTGGGGCGAGGTGATCAGGCAGGACATGGCGCGACTTCAGATTTCCGAGGACATGGCTCTTGATAGGAACGTGTGGAGGTCGAGCATTAGGGTTGTAGGCTAGGGGATAGTCGAGAGTTTTTCCCTCTTTATACCGGGTAGTCTGATAGAGTTTTGTCCAGGTCTGTTAGCAGTCTATGTTGTGTTCACATTATTTTGTTGTTTTGCATAGTTTTGTGTTATTGCCCTTTCACTTATTTGTTGTCTCTTACGGTGCAAATATTATCTTTCTGGCTTCTTTTGTTGTTACAGGCCTTTTCTTTTATTTCTTTTCTGTTATTACTGCCTCTTCTGTTGAGCCGAGGGTCTCCCAGAAACAGCCTCTCTACCCTTCCGGGGTAGGGGTAAAATCTGCATACACTCTACTCTCCCCAAACCCCACTAGTGAGATTTTACTGGGTATGTTGTTGTTGTTGTTGTTTGAAGTTGGGCACTATTTGTGTTACTAAATACCAGGTGGCGGTGGACAAATGGATGAGCTGGCTCATATTGAATGCTATCATCAAATAAGATCTTTGTTATATTCAGGAATTAGCGTATTCTATGCAAACACACATTTCTAATATCAGTTACAGCTACAAATAGCGTGCTTCAAGCTAGCTAGGTCATGTGTTGATAGAATGAAAAAGAGCTAGGTCACAATGGAACTAGCATCGAGTAGCATCATTGCAGAAACAAAATATATCAATACTAACAGATGACCATTTTCTAAAACGAAAGTAACATTAGATAGCAATCATGCTATATGTAGGATTATGTCAAAAGCTTAAGGCAAGCTGGTGATGATGGGAAGTTCAGATTTTTAATCATCACAATTTGGTCCCCAAGGATTGGGGTGAAAGGCAACTGAATAAAAGGGGAAGAAATATAAGCCAAATCCAGAGACAATTCAAGACGCTAAATACACCTGAGCCAGCTTGGACCTTCAAAGAGGAAGATGAACAGAAGAATGTAAAAGTTTAATCTTAGAAAAATGGATCAACATGGTTGTGGAAATTACGATGAAGATAGTGATTGACTTAGTATTATGTCACAGACAAAAACTAACGTGTAAAACCATGTTTCTCATGCTAGTTATGAGTACCTGAGCATCACTACTGGAACTGGAAGGTGACTGTGTAGAAGCAGAATCTGAGTTCCTACTAGGTGGACTTGACTGGTGAGAGTCCTGTTGTAACCAAGAACGGTACTCAAGAGGACCAATCCCCCTATCTGAAGGCAAAGGTGATCTGTCTAGATTTTCTCCGCCATCATCTGAACCATCATAAACATCATTCAAGTCAAAGTTAATCAACTTGCTCCTCCTGGCAGAACTCTCCCTGGCTTGTGCATAAGCTGGAGAACAGTTCTGGTTTGGAAACGAAGTGCCTGGACTTCGACAAGACTTTGTTCGCACATCTTCAAGCCTGACATCATGTACACCTGAACTTCTCTGAGACCCCTGAGCTGCTAAAGTAGCAAAGTGCTGTTCTTTCAGTATGGGAGGGCCTTGAGAACCATTTGAGACCAGTGAAACTATATCTGAATTTCGGGAGGGTGACCTATTATTCAGCAAGTTTGAAGATGCTTGCAGAAGTCCAGATAAATTATTATCTCCGTTCGGGACACCCTGGCTGGCAAGGCTTCTCAAAAGATGAGACAACAGGTCCTGATCTTCTATGTGTTTTGGTCTGTTGGCTGCAATTTATGGGTATATTGCAGTTATTCTAGAAACAATAAAGGACATTTTCAGGTGCACCAAAACATTTGTCGATAAATTTATCATATACGTAATTTGTCTAATCAGTCTACATCAGAAGAGCTAGGAAGTACTCACAATGCATATTGGAGAGTATCCTTAGCAGGCTCATCAATGAATAACCACTTGCCTGGACATCATTCAGAGTTTTGCTGTTATCATCTGAGTCAGCTTGTGTCTTCCTCCTTCTTTTATTATGACCAGCTAGGCGCCTACGACAACTTCGTTTCCCTTCATCAAACTCTTCAAGTGCATGAAATCTGCATGTAAAAGCATAATCCTTGACATCAAACCAAAGAATCATTCGAAGGTAATAACCCCAATGAAGCAAACAGAAACAATCAAACTTAGAAAAGGTACAGACATTTTTGTTAGGATTCACAAGACATGCTGTACTAAGATAAAGCCTGCAACTTGCGCTATCTTTATAGATCAAAATATCACTCTAGTACACTATTTAATACTCCCTCTGCCCCAATTTATGTGGCTCACCTTTCTTTTCAGTCCGTCTCAAAAAGAATGAAACTTTTCTATATTTAGAATTAATTTAACTTTAAACTTCTCATTTTACCCCTAACGAGATGATTTATAACCATACAAATGTCTATGGCTTACTGATATATTGCCTCTTTTCGTCTTCTTTTTGTCTTCTTGAGCCGAGGGTCTTTCGGAAACAGCCTCTCTACCCCGTAAGTTTTGCGTACATACTACCCTCCCCAAACCCCACTAGTGGGATTTCACTGGTCGTTGTTGTTGTATGAATGTCTATGTCTTGTTTAGATCAAAAGTTTCAAAAATCTTTTTTTCCTTTCTTAAACTCCGTTCTCAAACTATGCCACATAGGATGGGACGGAGGGAGCAGCAGAGAAGCAAGGTAAAACAACAACAACAACAATACAGTATAATCCCACTAGTGGGGACTGGGAGGATAGTGTGTACGCATACCTTACCCCACCCTAGGGAAGAGAGGCTTTTTTCCGATAGATCCTCGGCATACCTCCCTCCAAGAACTCCCCACCTTGCTCTTGGGGCGACTCGAACTCACAACCTCTTGGTTGGAAGTGGAGAAACAAGTAAAAGGAAGAGGGAATTGGTGGATACTGACCTGCTGCACTGCTGGCAGAAACGCTGCATAAGATTTGAAACGAGTGCCCTACTGGATTTAGAGTGCATCTCACAAACCTTATGTCGTCTGTGGTAGTCTTTGGCATTGCTGAGATCCACCCCACAATCGTCAACCTGACATATTGCTCTGCTCGAAGTAGTATTTAGTTTGGTCCTTTTACCAAATTCCCTAGGATGCCCTCGTTGTTCACCTAACTTGAGTGAAAGAGAAGCAGAATCATATTCCAAATTTTCATCGTTTTCCCTCCTCCTCCTCCTCTTCTCAAATTCCCCAATATTTACTTCATCGGAGCACGAAGAGGAACTGTTTCCAGTTTGGAGGGGAAAAAACTGGTAATTAGAAGAAGGAATCTTAGGCTTGGCAATGAAAAGATCACCATCCCATTTCCAATCATTGGGATCCCACTCTAAGCTTTTATTGAAAAGTTGCGTTTCAGCTCCCATTCTCGCTTCCATTTTTGTATTGTAACGGATAGCTAGAAGATCAAAATACAGAGGACCGGAATATGAAGGTAGCTCAAGAATTGATGATCAGTATCCTAGAAATTTAAGTAAAGAGCTTCAGTTCGGCAGCAAAAATGACAAAGAGTAGAGTGAGACAAGAAGCATAATTCATATGAAGAGCAAGCCACATGCCCTGGAGACGAAGAGGAAAGAAGAAAGGACAAAAGTTGGGCAGAGAAAGGTAGGGATGAATGAATGATAAGATAGAGAAATGTAAATGCGGGAACGAACTGAGCTGTATTGTATTGTATTGTCGGGTGAGTGGTGTGGTGGGGTGAAGTGCCTTTTCATTTTTGTTTTTCATGCTACGCCAAACTATATATACAAGAAGAGGAAGAGTGCGGTCATATATTTTAATGTAACATTTTCTTTTGATAATACACAATTTCATTATGAAATTACAAAAGTGACTTTTAAGCTCCCGTTCTTAGGAGCTTTTTTTCAAATATATGTTTGTTTATAGATTTTAACCATTTTTAGTGGGCGTTTGGGCGTAAGAATTGTAAAATTCCAAAAAAAAATTTTAACTGAAAAATTAAAGTTGTGTTTGAACGTAAATATTATTTTGGGTTGTTTTTTAAGTTTTGTGAGCGATTTGAGTGAATTTTGAAAAATAACTTTTTGGGATTTTTCAAATTTTCGAAAAATTCCAAAATTCATCTTCAAGTGAAAATTGAAAATTTTATGGCGAAACACTGATTTTGAAAAATAGCAAAAAAACTCGAAAAAAGGGATTTTTTTTAATGTCCAAACAGGCTCTTAGTATATTTGAAAACAAAATCTTGTAATCTCAAAAACAGCTCTAGAGAGTTTTTTAAGCTTTTGTTTTTACTCGCAAAAAAATTCAAATTATGTTCAAGTAAAATACATGTCCAAACACAATTTTAACTTTCAAAAACCATTTTCATCTCATCTATAAAAACTAATTTTTTTCAAGTTTCAACCAAATATATATATATCCAAATCTTTAGTTAAGTAAAGCACAAGTTAAAATTGAAAGTCAAATGTTGTTAGAAGAAGGGAGACGAGTCATATCAATTATGCAACATACGACAGTCGTGTATTGTTTCATTCTCTTTTGGTAGTAAGAATGACAAAATAAAATGTATGCGAGGAAATTAATGATCGACTAAAGATTGTTTTAAGAAAAGTGAATGCTCTTAAAGAACTGTATAAGAAAATAAAATGAAATATAAACATTTAATTTAGGAGTTCAAATATATAAGTGATTAGATTGCTTCAATGGAATCAAAGTGGACTTCACTTTAATCTTAAGTCCGTTAAATATTGAAAAAGTGGTGCTTTAAAACTATTTCATAATCGTACATCTGATATACTTATTTATTCGGTTTTGGTCGTTTCCACAGCTTTTCACGAAATATGCACATTCATTGTACTAAAATTTGGCACATGAATATAAATGAGTAATGGAAATTGATAAACTAATGGCAATCTGGACCATATGATGGGATTATTACATGTCATGCTGTTCCTTTTAATTGTTCTTCCTCCTTTCATGTGATATGGAGACAAATTGGAGCAAAGTCTAACATTTTTCACTTTGAAAGCATCCTTCACCTGAAAAATAAAAGGGCAGCCTGGTGCACTAAGCTCCCGCTATGCGGGGGTCCGGAAAAGGGCCGGACCACATGAGTCTATCGTATGCAGCCTTATCCTACATTTCTGCAAGAGGCTGTTTCCACGGCTCAGATCCGTGACCTCCTGGTCACAAGGAAGCAACTTTACCATCCTTCACCTAAACTATCGTCTAATTTACATAATGAACAACTTCAGAATTACAATTGAATGTTCACAAACACAACTTAACAAATGTGCCGCGAATGAGACTCATTGAAGGTTATTGGATCAGCTACATTTTCATAAGAGGACTAACGCCCCACCATATCTGTACATACCGTGCCACTACGTACACAATGTTGCAGAAACTTGGAATAATCAAGGGAGAAAAGGATTATGAGAAGGACAATCCGCCCTCTGTTTTCTGTAGGCCCTGATGTGGAAAAGGTATAAAAAGCAGCTATTCAGATCATCTCATTAATCTTTTCTTCAAGCAACAAAACACCGTCCCACAATCAACATGACAAATTACCTGGCAATATTTGTTCCTCCCAATGTTACAGTTCCCAAAATAATAAAAAGAAAGGGAATCCCAATCAGTGGATGATTTTTCCTCCCTCCTCTAGGAACTCCACTTCTTACAACACGTGAATATCCAACTGATAACAAAACATTGTCTTTCCATTAGATCAGGGGTTAATCCCATGTTATATGTGCACATAAACACACACATGTATATGGACACAATTAAGGAGCTCTAGAGTAACTTACCACCGTGTTGACCTTCGTGTCTTGTACCTGTAATTGCTATTCAAAGTGAGACGATGAACCCAACTAAGAGAGTAAGGAACAAATAGAACAGCAAGCAATAACAAACAAATGTATGCCGATAGGGCTCTAGACAATTTAATGCACACACCATATTTATCTTGGGTTAATGCACATTTGACAAAAGGGCAGCCAAGTGCACGAAGCATCCCGCGTTCACGTAGGGCACGAGGAAGGGTCATACCCCAAGGAGGTGTGATGTAGGCAGCATACTTAATACACGCATCAATGGCTAATTCCAATTAGTGCTACTGGATACAAAATTTTATTGCTATCCTAAAATTTTGTATATTTTGCTTTGTAGACTCGCATAGGTAAAGTGGTACTAGGGATCTTTGTGTAAAGCTACACAAGAAAAGTATCCAACAAGTTATTCAAAGCGGTAAGGGTTCTTTCTTAGAGGATGCATAAGAGATTTGCGTGAAAAGTTCTAACTTTCTCGCTCACACACATCACACATAAAAGCATTGGTAAACATGAGCAGGTTTGGAGTGCGCAGATATTATAGTTCTTTTGGTTTTTAGGATCTGACAGAAAAAGATTCATAAATAAATATGAGCCGTAGTATTCTTCTTGCAAAGAATGCTATAGGAGAGTGAACATTATAAATAACAGTGCAACTTGTACCAATTGTAACATAGAGTGCTGATTATGAAGGGAGGTGAGATGAATTGAAAAAGCCAAAAATAAGCTGGTTGCATCAACTCAACCAATACAAGATATACACTTTGAAGAAACACGACTGAAAAAGCCAAAAATAAGCTGGTTATAAGGATTAATCACAAGAGTACGGAATGGAGGTACTTTTAGTGCAATAGCTTATAGATTGACTTTCTTTGTTTTTATAACATTTTAGAAAATATTTGTCTTAATACTATATAATATTTTCTTATGTGAAATTAGGAGATACTACTTGCCAATTATCATCATCATATAATCATAAGTAGCAAAAAGTTCCTGAATGTACTTTTTGTCATGCTAAGAAGTTTCAATAAAAGCCCCCAACATTTTGTTGCGCAAGTTGATGTATCAAACTAGCAACCACCGAAGTTCTAGCTCAGTTGTATGAATTAGTGTTAGCTGACCAAAAGAAAACAAATTTTGCAAAGACATCCAAACATATAATAGCATCTTTACTATTATGTCTTTTGGTGTTAAGTTTGATGAAAAAATTGACATATTCTGGAAAGGAGTTTACACTATAAAGGGCACAGGTAACGATCTTCTATTATTGGTCTCACGTAATGATGATCCATGTTACTTTCAACTTTAATATACAAATAATGAGTTGTGCAATAGGATGCCAAAACTACAAGAAGCAAACTTATCAGAGGAACTGGTGGGCAAAATCAGGTCAATAATAGATGGAAATCCATATGCACAATTGTTTGCCAGCCAAAAAATCACTCTACATTTTCAAATATACAAATTCGAATTGTTGTTAATGCTTTTTTAGATCAATAGTGTATAACACCCTAAGTAGATCAAGTTACTGCAATTTGGATAGATCGAAACAATCCAAATATAATGCTCGAAAGAGATATTAGCGTTCATGCAACAAACATAGAGTAACACATTACCATGGTTGTTATGACCTGCTACAATATCCTTTACTTTTTTTGAAAGGTGAAGGAGGTCGGCATCAAAGAATAAGGAAATGTTGCAATTCAAAAAGCAGCATTACATAGATGAAGTTGCAACTGTCAGCACAAATATTCCAAGACAATGAAGAAGGAGGTAAATATTTATGAATTATTATAAAAAAATTCATAGCTTAAACTAACTTTATCAATATAAACAAATCTTACTTATAAGTGTACGATGTGAAACTAAAGGATATGTGCAGAGGCGGAGCCAGAATTTGAATCTTATGAGTTCTGGATTTTAATCACTTTAAGTCACTGGATTCTAAATTAATAATTTGCATATATTCAATAGATTTCTTAACACACATAGAGTTTGAACAAAAGTTATTGGGTTCGGCCGAACCCGTAACTTATACATTGGCTCTGCCCCTGGATATGTGTCTTGTAAAGAGTAGTACTACTATAAACTACAAGTACAAAAAGAAGAGAAATTGATATTACTACTATTTGACATATTATTGCAACAATTTGTTATTGACATGTACATAAGATTAGAAACGACGCTTGAATATTTTAGAAATGAGCAATCAAATCTCAAAAGGGAGATATATCAAAGTATAGTTGACAATGTCTGAATGTCATGACAAGAAAATATAGAGGAGAATAGGTCAGTCAAAGGATATTACTTCTGGCATCCTTTGGTAAAAGTAAAGCATATTGTAGCGTGTCATAACAACCATAATAATATTTTAATCGATATTTGTTGTCTAAATGTTCATGAACAATAGTATCTCTATTCAACAGTATATTTAGATTGTTTCCGTCTATTCAAATTGCAACAACTTCTACTGAGGATGTTATACACACGTTGATCTAAAGAAGCACTAGCATCAAATTTGTACATTTCGAAATGTCGAATAATCTTATAGTTGTAGAATGAATTGTGCATATATTCTATCACTTCCTCAGATAAGTTTGCTTCTTGGAATTTTGACACCCTGTTGCACAACTCGTGGGACCAATGACGAAAGATCGTGATATATATGTCCATGTGCCTTAAAAGTAGAAACTTCTTTCCTTGAAAATGCCATTTCTTTATGAAGCTCAACTCCAAAAGACGTAAAAGCAAATATGATATTATATGCTCGGATATTTTTGCGGAACTTTTGGCTTCTTCTGACACAACTACAAATAATTCATATAACTCAACGGGAACTTTGGTGGTTGCCGATTTGATACATCCATTTGCGCAACAAAATGTTGGGAACGAAAATTCACCAACACAACCACA